TCCAAGAGTTCAGGTTGAGATACAAAGCCCATTTTTACCCATTTAACTTCCTGACAACCATGTAAAGAATATGAAGCTAAGCTATACAGCTATTCACCTGCACATGTGACTCCAAAAACTGGATCTGGGCAGCAGAGCTTCCATTCCCAAATGTTCCAAGGTGTGTGGATCCTTCTAAAGACCAGGCTGCGCTGATGTTTGAAGGGAGCTTGTAAGTTTGGCTTACAAACCGTTTCATGTTTGGAAACAGTGCCTTATCAAGGTTCCTGTTCATAGGGAAGTTTGTAAATGCAGACAGCTTAGCATGATTACAACCCGCTTCATGTCTTAGTGCTAAACAGATGGTGGTCTTTTTAGGAACCAGGTTGATGTGAGCAGGGCTGCATGTCTGTGCATACATTTTTAGCCCTGCTGTGAGCAGACTGGGTGCCTACATAGAACTAGAGTAACAGCTTAAAGTCACACAAGGAACTTTGGAGTTGCAGAGTTATTTGAATAAAGGTTTTACCAGTTGCGGCCCAGCAATCGAAACAGTGCATCACAGAAATCCAAGTTAACCATACTGACTTAAAAGGCAAGTATTCCATTTGTTGCAGATCTGTGCATTTGTCCAGGAATTCATCCACGCATCTGAAATTTTCAGGGCTCGAGACAGGATGGCTGATCGCAGAATTTATTCTAGACTGGCAAGGCTAGATTCAGGGAGGAACTCTAAAATAAACTCAGCATGTTCTAAGCTCCACATTCTTCTTTCCAAGAGTGCCAGGCTGCTGGATATAACAGCAGGTACAACCATAGCTTGCCAGTTGGGATGAAACAGTAAATGGTGGTTTGCCACAAAGGAGGGAGAGAAATTTTGGCACGTGAAGACAGGATGTAGGAGAGCACCAAGCCTGTAGGTGTTGCACGCCTTGCTTGTGCCAAACCACAGTTTGGTGCAACAGCCTGAATCAGCCAATTTGTTTTACATGATCAAGACACGTCATTTTTATGTCTCTTGTTTCTTTCCTACCCTTTAAACAAACATGCTGCACACCCTATTCAATTACATGCTGGTCTTTTTGTATTCTTCCTGCACAACACACACAATTATCCTCTTTAAACTATTTCATTTTAAAGCTGTTAACTTTCTAAGCTGACCAGTGAGTGATTGCAACTGTTTGAGTGATTCTTTTAGTTATTTCAAGGTAAGGAAAGGCATCTGACATGTGGCACTTCGGTTTTCAAGAAGGAATATACTACATAGCCAGTGTGGCACAGCAATAGGACTGAGTATCTGGAGGATCCAGGATCTCGTTCCCACTCAGCCACGAAGCTCACTGGGTCAGTCAGTCACACCTTCTCAGCCTTACCTACCTCACAAGGTTGTTATTGTGAGAATAAACGACCTTGGGCTCTTCGCAAGCAGAAGAAAGGCGCAGGATGCATGTAATGTTGTGCTATTACAGGGAGTATATATTCTACAATGCAACTTTCCCTTGATGAAAAATATTATAAGATTCATAGTGGCTTTCTCCAGGCATGATGCTAACTTCAGGTGACTATAATGAACATAGAATCATAGAAGAGTAGAGTTGGAAGGGGCCAGGGAGGCCATCTAGTCCAGCCCCCTGCTGTTGCAGGACACCATGTTACACCATCCCACTCAGAGGGCTGCCCAGTTTCACCTTGAACGCCTCCAGTGGGGGAGAGCCCCCCACCTCTCCAGGCAGCTGGTTCCACTGCCGTATCGTTTTGACAGTGAGGAAGCTTTTCCTGATGTCCAGCCTGAACCTGGATCGTCCCAACTTGAGTTGATTATTCCATGTCCTCCACTCTGGTAGCATGATAAGAGATCTCGACCTTCCTTTTTGTGACAGCCTTTGAGGTATTTCGAGAGTGATGCCATATCGCCCCCGAGTCTTCTTTTCTCAAAGATGAACATGCCCAGTTCTCACAGTCTTTCCTTATAGGCAGGGTTTGCAAGCCCTGGATCATCTTCGTTGTCCTCCACTGAACCCTTTCTAGTTTTACACAAGTTGAGTGCTAGTTGAGGGTGTCCACCCTCTCCCTGAAGTTCATCCAGCTCCCAAGTTTTCCTTGAACTTTAAGGCGATCCCTGGCGATCCCTTAACTGCAGTTACTGTAGACAAACTACTCAACAAGTTACAGGAAAGAGGAGAGTTTGCTTCAGGAAGGAGGGACTACAGTGGAAGCAAGCTGGGGCCTGCCTCAGTTTCTTAGATCTGAACTGACCCATTAAACTGTAGCATTAGTAGATGGCAACTTCTAAATCTAAGAATAGTATTCTTTCTGTGCCATATATTCATTACCCAAGTATCCATTTATAGTGGCTCTTTTACAAACAGTGTAACCCAAAGAGGATTCAGAATCTTTTGAGATGTAGCATTCATTTAGTACTAAAATCTTGAAGTGAGAGTAAATATGCTTGGATCAATCTGAGAACTTCATGGCGCTTCAACTTCTATCCACCAGTTCGCCTACAGGAGGAGGGGGAAAAATCATCCATTGATTTTGAAGGGATAGAATTTTACCATCACAACCTGTCTATGCTTGTTCTAAGCCACTAGCAAGATGCAACAAAGCTTTCGGTGTCTTTTAAGTGGTGCTGGTAAAAGGAATAAACAAGAAGAAAAGGAAAAATTTGCATGCCACTAAACTGAGCTTTGGTAACATTCAAAATCACTGTGCAGATAATTGAAAATATTCAACATGTTAGAGAAAAATATCATCTGCTTTGAGCTTTTTTTTTCCTTAGAAAGTATTTAAACAATATTGCAGAGGAGAACAAATATGTGGGAACTGGATGAGTTGAAGATGAGATGTCTGAAAGCTGAGCCTCGTTCTTTATATCCCTTTTAAAATGTCATTTTTCCAAATAAAGATTTGGGTCGGAACAAGAATTTTAAACAGTAGCTTACTGTTCTAATGTATTTACGTTATCAGTTGCTGAATAGATTGGTAAGTTAACCTCATAGCACAGGATATATAATGCATGTATCTAAAGATACAGCTTTCAAACAGCCTAGTAATAACTTGATACCAAATGCCCACCACTCAATTTTCATAGCAAGATAAAGTGTTCTTTGATGTTCATCTCTTTAGCAAGAAGTAATACAGAATAAAGTAAGGCCTTACCCTAGATATAAAAATTAACTTAGTCCAACTTGTTGAAAACATCTGTCCTTCACCATAATTCCTCAATTTTCTTTAATATTAAAGAAAAAGAGAGAAAGGGAAAATTCATCATGAATTACTTGGTCTTGGTCAAGAGACGGGGAAAGGACTTGGATTTCTTTTTGGTATCCTGTGAGAGAAAGCTGTACCTGAACAAAGTCATTATTCCCTGAAAATTACCCCATGCCAGTAGGACATGTGTAATATGAGCTTTCCCAGAATAGTTAACTGTTGCAAATTTAAGCTAAAGTTTCCAGTCTGTGTGTACTATAAACAGTCTTAACCTATTGTTTTGTGAGTTGCCTCAAATCATCTTTGGGGTATTCTAATGAAATGTCTCTTCGAGGGCATTTTGTGTATGTTACCGTTCAGTTTCTACTGTGTGCTAGTTTTATAGTTTGGAGTCTTTCAAAAATAGGAAAACATAAACACATTTTGGCTACTTCATGTTTTGTGTTTGCAGTGGCTTTTAGCTCTTCGTAAATAAGTTTCATGATTTGTTATTACAGGCAATTTATTTTGTTACTTGCCTTTTGTCACTTACTCCTTGGAATAGGAAAAAACTTTCTAGAACAACTGTTAGAAAAGAAAGTTTTACGAATAGCTTAGTTCATAACTTAGTTTACTTTTGCATAACATTTGGATGCAGAAGTGGGTTTGAGCTCTGTTAATTGTCATCAGTTAGCAAGACTTTACAGGGTAAAGTCTTACAATCTTTCAGAGAAGCACCCATACAGAAGGTGTTTGGCATCTACTACCGTTGCTTATTCTTTATTTGCTTCCAAGTGCATGCTTTGGGTTTTATCACTGTTTAAAAGACTTTTTGTTTAATCTGGTAATCTTGCTTTGTTCAGTTTATGGACGGAGAAGATGAAAACTTCACCAGTTCAACCATGATCCAAAAACTAGTTCCACATAATCTTTTTTCCTTAGATAGCAACTCACCAGCGCAATGTGGAAAATTGCTTTTGGAACGGGGACATATACCTTGGCGAGGTTGGCTGTTAAGAGGGTCACAAATCAAATTCTGCTATGTTAGTCCAATTCTCTCACATGAGTTTATCCTGATATTTAGATGCTGTTTTCTGGATCTAATTTTACCCATTATTGAAAGATTGTAATACAGTTGCAATTCTGCTTCACACTTTTCAGTTCTTGTCTTCTCTGAACCTGTGACAGTGTTCAAAAAAATAAGGTATTTTCCCTCAAATATAATATTAGAAATGTGGGAGGAGTGTTTTTTCCAGAAAAAAGTTTTTTTTAGAAAGTGATGAGGATCTACTAGCCAACATTCAAGTTATTATTAATAATATTATTTCATTTCTGTATCTTTTCCAGTTTGTGATTTCTTCTATTTTCTATCTTGCATCTGATTTTATACAGATTTTCTTTCCAAAATACTGCTTTCACAAAAGGCAAACAAAACCATGTTAAAAATAAGTACAATTCTCAATATTCCACTAATATAGATTTTAGTATCAATTCTGACAGTTTACGTTTCTACTCCCAACACCAGCATTTAGGTGCTGCTCAGACTAGAAGAAAATATCACACGTATTAACTGGTTTAGGTTTTTCCCTGAATCTGAAACATGTCAAGACACCTTGAAGGCCTATAAGGGAAAAGACTGAGTATGTTTTTATGTTTTCCATTTAGCTGAGATGGACATTTGGGATGTATTAAGTGACATGCATTTCAAAAAAAATCTAGAGATTTAAAGCTATATTTTATGACATTTCTTTAAAATCTCATCACAGCTATAGTTTTATATCAGCTTAATGCAAGGGTTTAATTATCTCTCTCATGTTGTTGTTTTTCACCAGAATGTTATGGAACAGTTCAATCCTGGACTGCGGAATTTAATAAACCTGGGGAAAAACTATGAAAAAGCTGTTAATGGTAAGCCTACCTAATACCCACATTCAGTGTGCTGATTTAGCATATATTTTAATTTACTTTAAATATTTTAATTCCACGGTGTTCAAGGGTAATGACCGCCCTGAACATGTGTTCTTGCAAAATGGCGGTAGCCCATTGGCACATGCAGGCCAAAGCGAGGCATTCGGGGGTCGGAGAGATTACCTGGAACAGAGCGGTCCAGCGTCTCACAGCACGAGGGCCACACGAGGATTCTGACGTGGAACTCGGGGGCCGCACAATGACTTCCTGCAGACAGGAGCTCCTCCTCTGACCACAGCCCAAGCACAGTCACCACCCCTCTGGGGCGGCCCATCCCCTTCGGCCCAGTTTCTCGCACCCAGACTCCCTCCCGTGTGACTCCCCGGGCCCCTCCTTCCTTCCTGGAACTGGCGCACCGAGCCTTTTTCACCTGAGGTGATGGAGTCTCACCCTCCATGCTCATCGGGCTGGACACGCTGGGCGAGCTCTTGCAAGGCCGCCAGCCCAACTTCCGGAGTCTTCCGCAGGCAGCCTTGTCACAATCACGCCAGTGCCGTCGCCGGGATCTGGACTGGGGGGCAATGGGGGGTGCCCAGTGGCAAGAGGGTCACAGAACAAGGCCTTTGGGGGCACGTGTGGGGCCACCCCAATCTAGAAGAACCCAAAATCAAGATCAAGACCTTCCAGCCTCCGTGGGCCTGAGCACATAATTCACCTGGTTCTGGTGTGAGTGGCATTGCTAACATGGCCAAAATGGTGTCACCCATTTACCTGTTCTAAACGGGAGTATCGGCATGCAAAGGGACTTCCCAGGTTTTACAGAAGCAGAAAAATCTCTTGAAGAAAAAAGCCTTGGGGGGCATCCCAGTAGGGCGAAGCCATTCTTTTGCTTACGTAATAAGAACAGTCCCTTGGGGCAACCAGTGGGAAAGCTTTGCAAAGGCTAGGCCATCGGTGTATTTTACCTAACAGAAACAATACAGGTACACGTAGGATAGTAAAGTGCACAGTTATTTGCCAGGCTGGATAAACCTAAACTGTTCCCTGTTTCCTGAACCTAAACCGAACTAAATCTGGAACCTACTTGAAGATTAGATTGTGGCCTGGAGTTCTTCACAAAAGATCTACCACCAGCAACACTTACCTAGTTCAGACAACGCTTATTTCGGTAGGGCTGCCGCGTCTACGTCATTAGACTACTTAATTCCTTTCGACTTGCATGTGTACCTTTTTTCCACTTCATTTATCCAGACTAATTTAGCATCATCTTGGAGGAATTTTTTTTCTTAGAAATGATGGCCTTCTTTGGAATATGCATGACTTAAGATCACATTTTTTTCCCATGGTGCAATGTAGAGCATTAAAAGAATTTGTCAAAAATAATGCATATGGCTTCACTCCAGTGAGTCTGTGGAACATATTTTTTCTGCTCAGACTGCTTTTTGGAAAGTAGTAAATTGAAGTACAAGGGAGACAGATAAGAAAGAGCTACTCTGTCTTAGAAATGTCCATTTATATTCCTTTAAACAGTGTTCTTTAAAAATTACAAACGTGTACCAAAGGCAGCTTAAATATATTAAAATGAGTATGATATAAAACATTTCATGCTCTACTTTGAAGAGTGTGACCAACTGTTTGGTGTCCACTGTTAATTTTAGGATAACCAGCCTTCAGCACAGGGGAAATTCAGTATTGTAACTGGTCAAATTATTCATAGCATGTCTGATTTGCAAGCAGCAGCTGCAACCTTCATGGCAGCTTTGAGGAAATAAATGACAGGTTTGTATAATTTGTATGGTTTCGCAGGAAATGTTTTCACCTAATTGAATCATTGTGATTTTTGCACCTGCAGAGAAGTACAAAAACATTTCTCAGTCTGGCTGCTCATACCTACATGCTGCAAGGCAACCTGGATGTCAAGTCTTGCAAATCATTTGTCTGGGGGAAAAAAATCCACTCAAATCCAAAAATTGTTCTTGATAGACAGCCGCCTTCGTGACTTAAGAGCTGGAGCTGCTGTGCTGCACTCTGAACCCTGTTCAGCTTTAGATGAGATGGACAATATTTTCCATGTACCTTGTTTTGTTTGTTTATTTTAAGCTTTTATTATATCACTGTTTACCGGCCGCCCTCAGAACAGTGTACATTTAAAACAGCATAAAACACAGAACTACAAGCATATCCATAATAATCATAAAAATCATATATAATATCAATTAACCAAATAAATAATAATCCTATACAACACAATAACAACTGATCCACAGCAAGCCAATCATCACACGAAGAAAAAACCAGTATAAAATCAGATTCACCTATTCAGCAGTTAAATAATGGGAAAAGAAAAAGGCTCAGCCTGCTGCCAAAATGCAGAAAGGGTTGGCACCCGGTGCTCCTCCTTGGGGAACTGGTTCCATCCTTGGAGTGCCACAACTGAGCAGACCCTTCTCCTCCTGGCCACCTTCCTTCCTTCTTCTAAGAGGAGGGTTTCCATAGCTGATCTCAGGGTCCAGGTACGTACATGGAGGAAGAACTCCTTTATTGATCCGGGTCCTAAGCCTTCTTGCCCACTCAGTAGCAACCTTTGGGTATAACCAAGAATCGAATTCATCACTCTGTGGTCAGCAATTACGTCTGTAGGATTTTCCCTGTGCTGAAGATTAGTGATCCTAAATTAACATAGGATGCTGCCAAACCTTCAGGCTGTCCCATCTTTCCTGGATGATTGAATGCTTGTCAGCAGTTTTCAAAAGCATACAGGGATAGCAAATGTCTGAAGCGGAGTTTGGTCAGTACACTTAAAAGAACCTAATGTTTATATGCCTGCAAATCCCACAATAAATAGGCCACCTTAAATACTGATTTGAAGGCAGCTGTTAGAGTACACCCTCTTGGATGAATGGAAATATGATTCCTGTGGAGTACACGATACCCAGCACATGATTGCGGCCAGAGAAGGCCAGATGCAATTCAGTATCAACTACTTGTTTGAATTTGGCTCAGACGTACAGCGGGGTGAACCCACCCAGTTCCGTGTCCCTTTCCGCATCGTTTGGGTATTCTTGGCATGGGGGTATCGTGGCTCCCAGTGTCTTGCACCAAAGCAAAGCAAAGCAAATAAACTTCAGTTCCTTATAAAGTTTGTGGATGGAGATCTGCTTCAGACTTTCATGCAAATGAGGAGCTGGGAACACATAGCCAACTGCATCATTTTGGCAGGGCCGTCTGAACGCACGGGCCTGATGGGCGCTTGCCCGTGGGCCCCATACTAATCTGTGTACGTTAACCCTTGGAAAATTGGAAAGCTTCCAAAATTCACAGTAGTTGTAGTTGTCGTAGGGGCCCCTGTACACTGCTTTGCCCGGGGCCCACAATGCTGTGAAGACGGTCCTGCATTTTGGGACTATGTTCAGAGTTAACTAGAATCTGAAATGCTGTTAATAAAACATAATGTAAGGAGTAGTTTTACCAGTGGCACTTAAAAGTGTAATGATGACAGGTTTATAGGTTTAATCATGTTGCCTTTTATAGTAGTCTGCTCTTCCCTTTGCATTTGCCCTGTCTCCGCCTAGGAGGCCTCTTTTTGCTTTCCGGATTTCCCTCCAGCCTGCTCCATTTTGCTCACCCTTAACTCCTTTTTCCTGGTCTTCTCTCATTCCCCTGCCTGTGCCCTTTTGCCTTGTTTCTGCAAATTCCCAGGGAAGCTTTTGCCCTGTGTTCATTGAGCAATCATATCCCGAGCTCCACTTCAGCACCATGCAACCAAAAAAGCTTTGCTAGCGTAATAGCCAGGACTAAGTTTGAACCCCAAAAGCCTCAGGGTTTTAATTGTCTGCCCAACTCGGGTTCTTCAGTGACTAAAATCTGAAGGGAACAGATAACAGGTGCTTCTGTTTTCTTCTTAGTTTGGGAAATACAAAATCCTTCCCACCCCCAGGTTTATTGGTTCCATCTTGAGTCATTCTTCTTCCTAATCAATGTCAATCGGTACTTTTCTGTTCCTATTTAATATTTATTATGAGCAAGGTTGTCACCCAATTTGACTAACTCTTAGACGCTTAAACACATCAGTTTTAATTTATCAAAGCTATATTTAAATTTATATTAAAGTAATGTTAAACCTGGATTAAAATGGTTTAAAATCCATCGACTAAATTCTGCAGCTACAATTATGAGTTGTAATTAATAAGTTATGAATTAGAATTAATAAACCCTAAAATAATAAAATAATAAAATAAAATAAACCCTAAAAGAAAAACAGGAATATTGGACTGTGGTCTGAGGACACACAAATATGCCTTATCATATGTCTTGGGTGAATCCTCTCTATTATTCTTATATAAAGGTATATTTATTTTTTATTGTAAGAAAAGATGGGCTGATTCCTAAACATGTCTTGTACTACTTTTCCAGAGTGGCATCTTATGCCTCTTCAAATGCTTCTGCTTCCTAAGAGATCTTTCTTGTCTTGTAAAAGTAATGTCAGAACTGGCTTCTTGCAAACTAACTTGTTAAACGTTGCTCTGTTCCAAGTGCCTTGCCAATCCAAGCAAGCCGGATCTTATGCTACCTAAATGTTTCCCGGGCACATCTAGCAAAACATGTCTTTTTAAAATTATAGATGCAAAAATAAATTGCAAATCATTAACAGGAAAACCAGACCTGATGTTATGTCAATGATTCTTTGAAAAAGTTGAAGTGAATCACCGATGACTCTCTCCTCCCCTCCTGGTTCTCTAAGAACAGGAAGCGTCTCTGCTCTTATTCACTAGAAGGTTCTCCTTTTAAACCTTGAAAGTACCTGTTGCTGAGCAAATACTATTATATAAAGTGCTGTTTGTTCTTGGTCAAGGAAATGTTAAAGACGTGAACTGGCTCACTAGGTACATTGTATTTTTTGGAAATAAACTGATATTATTTCAGAAAGTTTGAGAAGGCATCAATTAAAGGTACTGTGTACCTGGTATGTAACACCTATAATCCCATTAAATGAATAAGACTTTGCAGTGGAGGAGAATAATAGCAAACTGACCCCACTCAAGACATCTGTCAAACTTTCCCCTCCAACAATCATGATGTCCAGAGATGATCGCTGTATCTTTTCCAGTTTTTATTTCTAGAATTTCGTAGAGTTGTCCAGTGATGGTAGCCAGAGTGGCTACCGGTCTGGGACTCGGGAGGCCTGGGTCTAGTCCCCATATGGTCACGAAGCGTCTTGGGTGACTCTGGGCCAGCTGCTCACTATCAGCCTAACCTACTCTGCAGGGTTGTTGTTGTGGAGGGGAACCTGCTTTGGGTTCCTCACAAGAGGAAAAAGGGTGAAATATGAAAATAATGTAATAATAATGGTAAGCAGTTTGCAATGTTTTTCAGAAAATAGAATTCCACTGGAATGGTATGGGGGACAGGGACTTGGGTGCAAATGCAAACTTAAAAAGCTCGAGTGAGGTACCAGCATTTCACAGGTTAAAAATAGGGGCAGTCCTGTGCATTTGTAAATGACCGTAATTGCACAAAGAGTTGGCCCAGAGTAGGGCAGGGGCCATGTGTGCGCACCCCATGCTCACACACACACGGCCACTGGAGGATTATATTGGAAGATAACGCATATATGAATTCCTTCATATATCCTTCAACAGCATGGTTTGCACTGGTTTCTGAGGAGGATATTTAATTATTTAATTATTTATTAAAACATTTTTA